AGCCCTGAAATGGGTCGCAGGAAACCCTGACCATGATGACCTCATGGCTGTCAATAGTAAATTCGATGAAGTTGTTGAAAACCACAACCAGCAACTAATAATCAATAGAACCATTTTTGATAGAATTAAAAATATTACGCAAGTAAGTAATAGCATACTAAAAACGATGCAAAATAGCAACGAACTTCTAACCTTGTTGATACTCGAGTATAAGTTTAAGATTGATATAATAAAGGAAGAAATTGAGAATATTAACAGAGCAATACATCTTACCAAGGCTAATATTATAAATAGTTTTATAATTTCCAACCAAGAAGCTCAGAAAATTAACGAGATATTTATAAAAGAAAATATGACATTTGGATCGTTAGAGGAATCGTTGAATTTTGCTGACGTTCAAATCGCTATGAATGAAAGTTTAATAATTTATGTAATAAAGATACCAAAAACGGAAGACCAAATATGTAACTGTATTCTAATGAAACCAATAAGTAGGGATGGAAGGATCTTGAAACTGAAGTTCCCTAAACCTTTTGGTAAAATCCAGTATGGTTACACACTTTGGGATATTGGCCATAATTATAGCCATAATTGCAATATTTAAATGCAAGAGGAGCAGAAGCTCCCAAATAGTCATCCATAAACCACAGTCCATACAAATGCCGGAAATACAAAATATTCGTCACCGGAGTCTTAACGACATTCCACTTTTTTAAAAATAGCCCAATCGGGGACGCTTGGAATTTCGGAGGGAGGAGTTAATACCATACTTTGTTAAAGCCATTTCTACACAATCAGCAAATTATCATGCGATTCCGTTCCCACACAATTCCACCGGCAAAACGCTCGCATATTTTGGGATCATGTTGCAACCAAAAATGCAATTGCGCTGCACGCGCCTCCGCCGTAATAATAATAATAATAATAATAGATTGGCGCTTACACATATGTTAGTGTTTGGCCGAGCTTCTCCTCCGATTTGTGGCGTGCGCCTTGATGTTGTCACACAAAGCGGAGGGACCTACAGTTTTACGCCGACTCCGAACGGCGATTGTATTTTTATGAGAAGCTGTTTTTCATGGCAGAAATACACTCGGGGGTTTGCCATTGCCTGCCGAGGGACGACCGCTGTTATGAAAAAACCTTTTTTCTATATTTTTGCGATGTTGCTTTGACCAGGATTTGAACCCAGGCATTGTGGAGTGGAAGCGCGCACTGCTTACCACTACACCACAGCGGCCGACTTAGCTAAGGAAATTAAACACCTTAGTTGAGCGAAACACGCGCAACTAACAAACCAAACACTTCAGGTGAGAGAAACACGCGCAATCCCCATTCTGCTGACCAGGCATCTTTGGTCACGTAGGCCGGCTCAGGTTTAGGTTAGTTTGTAAGCGGTAGCTTAAAGATAAGTTAGTCTAAAACTCACTCGCGAGCTAAAGGCACATAGTGCCGCCTAATAAAGTTTGAAATAAAACATAAACTTAAGTCTCGCGTTTTATTTTATACATATGTACCTAAAACTGTATTAACATACTCTGTAGTGTTCGTCTTTATATTCCAGTATAGTTCTATCGATATACATAT